TGTGTGTTGTTGTGCCACAGCAACCTTACCCTGTCTCACACTCCTCCCACCATCCCCCCTCCCCCGTCCCCTCATCCTCCCAACTATTCCTAACTCCCCCGTCCCTTTGTCCTCCCAACCATTCCCCACTCCCCCATCCCCTTGTTCTCCCCACCATCCTCCCCCTACCCCGTCACCTCGCCCTCCCCACCATTCCCCACGCCCTCGTCCGATGCATTCCCAAATGATCTGATGTTCCCATCAGAAAATTGGGAACATCAAGTGATCTGATGTTCCCATCATTGAAATATAAGAAAAATAGTTTAAAAAACGGAATGAAAAACGATGAAAAAATAAACAAAATGAACTATACTCTCGAAATGAATGGAATGGAAAACAACACATCTCAATTCTAGCGCAATGACACACAAAATAATTAAATCAAAATGAAAATAAATCGAAATCAATGAAAATTCAAATTGTCAATGAAATCAAAAACATTGAAATGGAATCGTAACATATATAGTATAGCGTGTGTCGCTCTTACGTGCAACATATGGCACTCTTTCTTAAAGAAGAATGTTTTTACCTGTCACAGGTGTGGCATCTATACATATACTTACAAAATGAATGGTATGGTAAACAACACAGCTCAATTCAATGCAGTGTCACACAAAATAATTAAATCAAAATGAAAATAATTGAAATCTATAAAATGCAATTTTTCAATGCAATCGGAAACACTGAAATGGAATCATAACATACTTAGCATAGCGTGTGTTTCAATTACATGCAACAGATGGCGCTGTTTAAAATAAAATATGTTTTTACCTTTCTCAGGTGTGGCATCTATATAGTAGGTATATAAAAACATGCGCGTATTCGAATGGAACGTTGCGTGAAAATTTCAAAGCAATCGGTGAAGAACTTTCGGAGATTTACGATTTTGAGCAAACGAACATTTACATTTTTATTTATATACTAGTTGTACCCGGCCACGCGTTGCTGTGGCTCAGCAACACATGTTCGTTGCTGATCCACAGCAACCTTTCCCTGTCTCCCAGTCCTCCCCCCCCCATCCCCCCCTCTTCCTCTGTCCATCGTTCTCCCAACCATTCCTCACTCCCTCGTCCCCTTTTCCTCCCCAGCTTCCCCTCGCCCTCCTAACCATTCCCCACTCCACCGTCCCCTTGTCCTCCCCACTATCTCCCATTCCCCCGTCTCCTCGTCCTCCCTACCATTCCCCCCTCCACCGTCCCCTTGTCCTCCCCAATATCCCCCACTCCCCTGTCCCCTTGTCCTCCCTACCATTCCCAACTCCTCTGTCCCCTCGTCCTCCCCCACCATTTGCCCCTCATCCCCCCCAACATCCCCCTACTCCCGTCCCCTCGTCCTTCCCACCATTCCCCAATTCCTCATCTGATGATCAAATGATCTGATGTTCCCATCTGAAAATTGGGAACATCCAATGATCTGGGGCTAGATTCACGAAGAAGTTACGCAAACACTTACGAACCTGTACATCTTTTCTCAATCTTTGGCGACTTTGTTTACAATTATTAAACAGTTAATGAGCTCCGAAGCACCAGGAGGCTGTTTATAACAATAACAACAGTTGATTGGCAAGTTTTCATGCTTGTAAACTGCTTAATAAATGTAACCAAAGCCGTCAAAGATTGAGGAAAGATGTACACGTTCGTAAGTACTTCGTAATTGTTTCGTGAATCTGGCCCCAGATTTTCCCATTGCTGAAATATAAGAAAAACAGTTCAAAAACGAAAGGACAACCAAAAAAAAAAAATAAAAAATAAACTATACTCATGAAATGAACGGTAAATGTATGGTAAACAACAGAGCTCAATTCCAACGCAATGTCACACAAAATAATTAAATCAAAATGAAAATGAATCGAAATCTATGAAAATTCAATATCAAAGAAATCGGAAACATTGAAATGGAATTGTAACTTATTTAGTATAGCGTGCATTGGTCTTAAGTGCAACAGATGGCGCTGTTTTTCAAAAAGGGCATGTTTTTACCTGTCACAGAGGAGGCATCTATATAGTAGGTATATAAAAACACGTGCGTATTTGAATGGAAAGTTGTGTCAAAATTTGAAAGGAATCGGTGAAGAACTTTTGGAGATTACAGCGTGTGTTGCTCTTACGTCCAACAGATGGCGCTGTTTTTCAAAAAAAGCATGTTTTTTCCTGTCACAGGTGAGGCATGTATATAGTAGGTACATAAAAAGATGCGCCTATTCGAATGCAACGTTGTGTCAAAATTTCAAAGCTATCGGTAAAGAGGTTTCCAAGATTTCCTTCACATGAAAAACACAGTTTTTCAAAAAAAGCATGTTTTTTTCCCGTCGCAGATGTGACATCTATATATTAAGTATATAAAAACCCGCTCAGATGCGAATGGAACGTTGAGTGAAAATTTCAAAGCAATCGGTGAAGAACTTTCAGAGATTATAGATTATGAACAAAGGAACATTTCCATTTTTATTTATATAGATATAAGGTAAAAGTTGGACAGCTTTTCAATTCGTTAGGGAGTGAGTTCCATAGACTGGGTCCCTTTATTTGTATAGAGTGTTTACACAGATTAAGTCTGACTCTGGGGATATCACAGAGATATATATTTCTGGTGTGGTGATAATGGGTCCTATTACATCTGTCCAGGGAGAGTTTCAGAGCAGGGTTCAGATCAAAGTTTCAATCAGATCTTCAGAACAGGATTTTGTAAATGTAAATGGCACAAGAGAATGTGTGGAGTGAGTTTATGTTTAGCATGTTAATTTAAGGGATTTAAACAGGGATCTGAGTGTTGTCTGAAAGCAGAGTTTTTTTTATTGTTCTGATAGCAGATTTTTGTTGGATGATGATGGACTTGAGGTAGTTTGGAGTGGTTGAACTCCATGCACAGATACCATAAGTAAGATAGGGATAGATTAGCTCATAGTATAGTGAGAGGAGAGAAGAGTTTGGTACATAATGTCTGATTTTAGAGAGTATACCAACCGTTGTTGAGACTTTCTTGGTTATGTGTTGTATGTGGGTGCTGAAGTTGAGTCTCTTGTCTAAGTATAGGCCAAGGAACTTTCCATAATTTTTATTGATGATGTTATTGTTCATCTGGAGTTGAATTGCATTTGTTCGTTTGCTTCCAAATAAGATGTAGTAGGTCTTTTCTATGTTTAGTGTGAGTTTGTTGGTTGACATCCACAAGTGGACTTTTTTAATTCATTATTCACAACATTATTTAATGTATGTGGGTTGGGGTCCGAGTAGATGAGGGTAGTATCGTCAGCAAATAGTATAGGTTTAAGACTGTTAGAGACATTAGGCAGATCATTAATGTATATAAGAAATAGAAGAGGTCCCAAGATGCTGCCCTGTGGCACTCCAACAGTTATTGGTAGAGTGGGAGAGATTATATTATTGATGGCTACACATTGGTGTCTATCACTAAGATAGGATTGGATATAGTCCAGTGTATGGCCTCGGATTCCATAATGATGGAGTTTACGTAAGAGGTAATTGTGATTAACAGTATCAAAGGCCTTTCTCAGGTCAATGAAGAGTCCAATCGGAAACTCATTTTTGTCAAGGGCTGAATAAATTACGTCAAGGAGACTAATAATTGCATCTTTAGTACTCTTTTGAGAGCAGAAGCTAAACTGACATGACAGTGGGTATGACAGGATGTGAGGGCATGGAGACAGGTGTCAGTGGGTATGACAGGATGTGAGGGCATGGAGACAGGTGTCAGTGGGTATGACAGGATGTGAGGGCATGGAGACAGGTGTCAGTGGGTATGACAGGATGTGAGGGCATGGAGACAGGTGTCAGTGGTGGGTATGACAGGATGTGAGGGCATGGGTATGACAGGATGTGAGGGCATGGAGACAGGTGTCAGTGGGTATGGGATGTATGACAGGATGTGAGGGCATGGAGACAGGTGTCAGGATGGGTATGACAGGATGTGAGGGCATGGAGACAGGTGTCAGTGGGTATGACAGGATGTGAGGGCATGGAGACAGGTGTCAGTGGGTATGACAGGATGTGAGGGCATGGAGACAGGTGTCAATGGGTATGACAGGATGTGAGGGCATGGAGACAGGTGTCAGTGGGTATGACAGGATGTGAGGGCATGGAGACAGGTGTCAGTGGGTATGACAGGATGTGAGGGCATGGAGACAGGTGTCAGTGGGTATGACAGGATGTGAGGGCATGGAGACAGGTGTCAGTGGGTATGACAGGATGTGAGGGCATGGAGACAGGTGTCAGTGGGTATGACAGGATGTGAGGGCATGGAGACAGGTGTCAGTGGGTATGACAGGATGTTAGGGCATGGAGACAGGTGTCAGTGGGTATGACAGGATGTGAGGGCATGGAGACAGGTGTCAGTGGGTATGACAGGATGTGAGGGCATGGAGACAGGTGTCAGTGGGTATGACAGGATGTGAGGGCATGGAGACAGGTGTCAGTGGGTATGACAGGATGTGAGGGCATGGAGACAGGTGTCAGTGGGTATGACAGGATGTGAGGGCATGGAGACAGGTGTCAGTGGGTATGACAGGATGTGAGGGCATGGAGACAGGTGTCAGTGGGTATGACAGGATGTGAGGGCATGGAGACAGGTGTCAGTGGGTATGACAGGATGTGAGGGCATGGAGACAGGTGTCAGTGGGTATGACAGGATGTGAGGGCATGGAGACAGGTGTCAGTGGGTATGACAGGATGTGAGGGCATGAAGACAGGTGTCAGTGGGTATGACAGGATGTGAGGGCATGGAGACAGGTGTCAGTGGGTATGACAGGATGTGAGGGGCATGAAGACAGGTGTCAGTGGGTATGACAGGATGTGAGGGCATGAAGACAGGTGTCAGTGGGTATGACAGGATGTGAGGGCATGAAGACAGGTGTCAGTGGGTATGACAGGATGTGAGGGCATGGAGACGATGCCAGTACACACACACACGAACACACCGTGTCCGAGCTCAATATAAGCCGTGACGCAGCAGACTCGCCCACCATATAATTCCCACCACGACTTCGAAGCTCTTGGAGGATATCACTGTCACACTCCCATATACTGCGTCTCCGAACTCCTCTCATTCCAACGTGAATATTTCATTTGATTTTGCCACACATATAACCCACACCTGAGGTATCACACCATGTTGCACGTGGATGGGTAGCGTCACTCATCCTGTGAGTGGACACACCGCCATAGTGACAGTATTGGGCAGCGCCACTCATCCTGTGAGTGGACACACCGCCATAGTGACAGTATTGGGCAGCGTCACTCATCCTGTGAGTGGACACACCCCCATAGTGACAGTATTGGGCAGCGTCACTCATCCTGTGAGTGGACACACCGCCATAGTGACAGTATTGGGCAGCGCCACTCATCCTGTGAGTGGACACACCGCCATAGTGACAGTATTGGGCAGCGTCACTCATCCTGTGAGTGGACACACCGCCATAGTGACAGTATTGGGCAGCGCCACTCATCCTGTGAGTGAACACACCGCCATAGTGACAGTATTGGGCAGCGCCACTCATCCTGTGAGTGGACACACCGCCATAGTGACAGTATTGGGCAGCGTCACTCATCCTGTGAGTGGACACACCGCCATAGTGACAGTATTGGGCAGCGCCACTCATCCTGTGAGTGGACACACCGCCATAGTGACAGTATTGGGCAGCGCCACTCATCCTGTGAGTGGACACACCGCCATAGTGACAGTATTGGGCAGCGTCACTCATCCTGTGAGTGGACACACCGCCATAGTGACAGTATTGGGCAGCGTCACTCATCCTGTGAGTGGACACACCGCCATAGTGACAGTATTGGGCAGCGACACTCATCCTGTGAGTGGACACACCGCCATAGTGACAGTATTGGGCAGCGTCACTCATCCTGTGAGTGGACACACCGCCATAGTGACAGTATTGGGCAGCGCCACTCATCCTGTGAGTGGACACACCGCCATAGTGACAGTATTGGGCAGCGCCACTCATCCTGTGAGTGGACACACCGCCATAGTGACAGTATTGGGCAGCGCCACTCATCCTGTGAGTGAACACACCGCCATAGTGACAGTATTGGGCAGCGTCACTCATCCTGTGAGTGGACACACCGCCATAGTGACAGTATTGGGCAGCGCCACTCATCCTGTGAGTGGACACACCGCCATAGTGACAGTATTGGGCAGCGCCACTCATCCTGTGAGTGGACACACCGCCATAGTGACAGTATTGGGCAGCGCCACTCATCCTGTGAGTGGACACACCGCCATAGTGACAGTATTGGGCAGCACCACTCATCCTGTGAGTGGACACACCGCCATAGTGACAGTATTGGGCAGCGCCACTCATCCTGTGAGTGGACACACCGCCATAGTGACAGTATTGGGCAGCGCCACTCATCCTGTGAGTGAACACACCGCCATAGTGACAGTATTGGGCAGCGTCACTCATCCTGTGAGTGGACACACCGCCATAGTGACAGTATTGGGCAGCGCCACTCATCCTGTGAGTGGACACACCGCCATAGTGACAGTATTGGGCAGCGCCACTCATCCTGTGAGTGGACACACCGCCATAGTGACAGTATTGGGCAGCGCCACTCATCCTGTGAGTGGACACACCGCCATAGTGACAGTATTGGGCAGCGTCACTCATCCTGTGAGTGGACACACCGCCATAGTGACAGTATTGGGCAGCGTGACAGTATTGGGCACTCATCCTGTGAGTGGACACACCGCCATAGTGACAGTATTGGGCAGCGCCACTCATCCTGTGAGTGGACACACCGCCATAGTGACAGTATTGGGCAGCACCACTCATCCTGTGAGTGGACACACCGCCATAGTGACAGTATTGGGCAGCGCCACTCATCCTGTGAGTGGACACACCGCCATAGTGACAGTATTGGGCAGCGCCACTCATCCTGTGAGTGGACACACCGCCATAGTGACAGTATTGGGCAGCGCCACTCATCCTGTGAGTGGACACACCGCCATAGTGACAGTATTGGGCAGCGCCACTCATCCTGTGAGTGGACACACCGCCATAGTGACAGTATTGGGCAGCGCCACTCATCCTGTGAGTGGACACACCGCCATAGTGACAGTATTGGGCAGCGTCACTCATCCTGTGAGTGGACACACCGCCATAGTGACAGTATTGGGCAGCGCCACTCATCCTGTGAGTGGACACACACCTCCATAGTGACAGTATTGGGCAGCGCCACTCATCCTGTGAGTGGACACACCGCCATAGTGACAGTATTGGGCAGCGCCACTCATCCTGTGAGTGGACACACCGCCATAGTGACAGTATTGGGCAGCGTCACTCATCCTGTGAGTGGACACACCGCCATAGTGACAGTATTGGGCAGCGCCACTCATCCTGTGAGTGGACACACCGCCATAGTGACAGTATTGGGCAGCGTCACTCATCCTGTGAGTGGACACACCGCCATAGTGACAGTATTGGGCAGCGCCACTCATCCTGTGAGTGGACACACCGCCATAGTGACAGTATTGGGCAGCGCCACTCATCCTGTGAGTGGACACACCGCCATAGTGACAGTATTGGGCAGCGCCACTCATCCTGTGAGTGGACACACCGCCATAGTGACAGTATTGGGCAGCGCCACTCATCCTGTGAGTGGACACACCGCCATAGTGACAGTATTGGGCAGCGCCACTCATCCTGTGAGTGGACACACCGCCATAGTGACAGTATTGGGCAGCGCCACTCATCCTGTGAGTGGACACACCGCCATAGTGACAGTATTGGGCAGCGCCACTCATCCTGTGAGTGGACACACCGCCATAGTGACAGTATTGGGCAGCGCCACTCATCCTGTGAGTGGACACACCGCCATAGTGACAGTATTGGGCAGCGCCACTCATCCTGTGAGTGGACACACCGCCATAGTGACAGTATTGGGCAGCGCCACTCATCCTGTGAGTGGACACACCGCCATAGTGACAGTATTGGGCAGCGCCACTCATCCTGTGAGTGGACACACCGCCATAGTGACAGTATTGGGCAGCGCCACTCATCCTGTGAGTGGAACACACCGCCATAGTGACAGTATTGGGCAGCGCCACTCATCCTGTGAGTGAACACACCGCCATAGTGACAGTATTGGGCAGCGCCACTCATCCTGTGAGTGAACACACCGCCATAGTGACAGTATTGGGCAGCGCCACTCATCCTGTGAGTGGACACACCGCCATAGTGACAGTATTGGGCAGCGCCACTCATCCTGTGAGTGAACACACCGCCATAGTGACAGTATTGGGCAGCGCCACTCATCCTGTGAGTGGACACACCGCCATAGTGACAGTATTGGGCAGCGCCACTCATCCTGTGAGTGGACACACCGCCATAGTGACAGTATTGGGCAGCGTTACTCATCCTGTGAGTGGACACACCGCCATAGTGACAGTATTGGGCAGCGCCACTCATCCTGTGAGTGGACACACCGCCATAGTGACAGTATTGGGCAGCGTTACTCATCCTGTGAGTGGACACACCGCCATAGTGACAGTATTGGGCAGCGTTACTCATCCTGTGAGTGGACACACCGCCATAGTGACAGTATTGGGCAGCGTTACTCATCCTGTGAGTGGACACACCGCCATAGTGACAGTATTGGGCAGCGCCACTCATCCTGTGAGTGGACACACCGCCATAGTGACAGTATTGGGCAGCGCCACTCATCCTGTGAGTGGACACACCGCCATAGTGACAGTATTGGGCAGCGTCACTCATCCTGTGAGTGGACACACCGCCATAGTGACAGTATTGGGCAGCGTCACTCATCCTGTGAGTGGACACACCGCCATAGTGACAGTATTGGGCAGCGTTACTCATCCTGTGAGTGGACACACCGCCATAGTGACAGTATTGGGCAGCGTCACTCATCCTGTGAGTGGACACACCGCCATAGTGACAGTATTGGGCAGCGTTTCTCATCCTGTGAGTGGACACACCGCCATAGTGACAGTATTGGGCAGCGTCACTCATCCTGTGAGTGGACACACCGCCATAGTGACAGTATTGGGCAGCGTTACTCATCCTGTGAGTGGACACACCGCCATAGTGACAGTATTGGGCAGCGCCACTCATCCTGTGAGTGGACACACCGCCATAGTGACAGTATTGGGCAGCGTCACTCATCCTGTGAGTGGACACACCGCCATAGTGACAGTATTGGGCAGCGTCACTCATCCTGTGAGTGGACACACCGCCATAGTGACAGTATTGGGCAGCGTCACTCATCCTGTGAGTGGACACACCGCCATAGTGACAGTATTGGGCAGCGTCACTCATCCTGTGAGTGGACACACCGCCATAGTGACAGTATTGGGCAGCGTCACTCATCCTGTGAGTGGACACACCGCCATAGTGACAGTATTGGGCAGCGCCACTCATCCTGTGAGTGGACACACCGCCATAGTGACAGTATTGGGCAGCGCCACTCATCCTGTGAGTGGACACACCGCCATAGTGACAGTATTGGGCAGCGTCACTCATCCTGTGAGTGGACACACCGCCATAGTGACAGTATTGGGCAGCGCCACTCATCCTGTGAGTGGACACACCGCCATAGTGACAGTATTGGGCAGCGTCACTCATCCTGTGAGTGGACACACCGCCATAGTGACAGTATTGGGCAGCGCCACTCATCCTGTGAGTGGACACACCGCCATAGTGACAGTATTGGGCAGCGCCACTCATCCTGTGAGTGGACACACCGCCATAGTGACAGTATTGGGCAGCGTCACTCATCCTGTGAGTGGACACACCGCCATAGTGACAGTATTGGGCAGCGCCACTCATCCTGTGAGTGGACACACCGCCATAGTGACAGTATTGGGCAGCGCCACTCATCCTGTGAGTGGACACACCGCCATAGTGACAGTATTGGGCAGCGTCACTCATCCTGTGAGTGGACACACCGCCATAGTGACAGTATTGGGCAGCGCCACTCATCCTGTGAGTGGACACACCGCCATAGTGACAGTATTGGGCAGCGCCACTCATCCTGTGAGTGGACACACCGCCATAGTGACAGTATTGGGCAGCGCCACTCATCC